CAAACTGGCTCGGGACCCGATCCCGAAGGAGGCAGAACGCAGGTCTACGCAGCCGTTGGAGTTGGTTCACACCGACCTGTGTGGGCCAATGAAGACAACAACGCCGGGCGGTAAGAGGTTCATCATGACGATGATTGACGACTTTAGTCGTTATACGGTCGTCTACTTACTCGCCAAAAAGTCGGAAGCTCCAGGTAAGATCAAAGAATATGTTCGTTTTGTCCAAACTTTGTTCGGCCGCAAACCAAAGGTTGTCCGATCGGACGGCGGCGGGGAGTACTGCAACCAGGAACTGCGTAAATTCTTTGCGGAAGAGGGAATAAAGGCACAATATACGACTCCATACAGTCCGCAACAAAACGGAGTAGCGGAGAGGAAGAATAGGTCGCTGCAGGAGATGGCGCGTACGATGCTCCTTGACGCTGATCTTCCCATGCGCTATGGGGGGGAGGCAGTGGTGGCAGTGGCGTTCCTGCAGAATAGGCTTCCTTCACGTTCTGTAGATACGACTCCTTTCGAAAAATGGCACGGACGCAAACCAGAGCTGGGATTCCTCCGCGTCTATGGGTGCCATGCCTACGTACACGTGCCAGACGTCAAACGAGGCAAATTTGATGCAAAGGCACGTAAGCTTCGTTTCATTGGGTATTCCGAAGAACACAAAGGTTACCGTTTTGTTGATCCTAGCACCGACAAGATCACCATCAGCCGGGACGCGCGGTTCCTGGAGATGGATGATGGATCTTCCAAGGAGAGCTTGCAGCAGGGTCCGAGCCAGGAGCCTGAATGCGCCGAAGAGTTTTGGCCAATCGAGGACAGCACGGAACAGCAAGCTGAAGAAGAAGATGTTCCTTTGGATCAGGAAGAAGCCGTGGAAGAGGCTGATGAAGAGGATCAAGATGAAGACGGTGAAGACTCGCATTACTTCGAAATGGAAGATCCGGATGATAAGCGCGACCCCCTGGCCGTGAAGCAGGAGGAGGATGAACTGGAAGCACCTGCGACATCGACTCCAGAAGGCACTGGTCGTCAATCTCATCGGCGAACGCGGCTACCCGGCCGTCTGTCGGACTACGTGGTTGGGGTAGCAGCGCACTCAGAGCAGGAGCCGGCTACGTTCAAGGAGGCAGTATCTGGTCCGGATCGGGATGCTTGGATGGCTGCAATGGACAGTGAGATGGCGTCGCAGAAGAAGAATGGTACCTGGCAGCTGGTGCCACTTCCACCAGGGAAGAAGCTCGTCGGCAGTCGATGGGTATACAAACTTAAGCGGAATGAGACCAACGAGGTCGTGCGCTACAAAGCACGAATCGTGGCGCAGGGGTTTACGCAAACACCTGGCGTCGATTTCGATGAGGTGTACGCCCCTGTGACGCGACACGCCACTCTTCGAGCTCTCCTGACGTTGGCTGGGAAGAAGAACCTCGTACTGAATCATCTAGATGTCCGAACCGCCTATCTGTATGGCAAGATCAGTGAGGAAATCTACATGAGGCAGCCCCCGGGCTACGCGGCTAAAGGCGAGGAGGAGCTTGTTTGCCGGCTGCTCAAAAGCATTTATGGACTGAAGCAGTCAGCCCGCTGCTGGTACGAGAAGCTGACGGAAGTGTTGAAGAAGATGGGGTTTGCAGCGAGTGAAGTTGATCAGTGTTTGTTTGTGAGCACCGTGAACGGGAAGAAAGTGTATTTGGTAGTTTACGTGGACGATTTTCTCGTGGGGTGTGAAAGCGAAGCAGTGATTACTCGCGTATACGAACAGTTGCAGAAGAGTTTTGACATTCAGTGTCTCGGCAACGTGAAGTGCTTCCTGGGTCTCGAAGTGCAGAAGAAGAACAATGTGTACAGCGTAAGCTTGATGAACTACATAGACCAGTTGGTAGCGAAGACGGGACTCAGTGAAGCAAAAGTGTCGAAAACGCCGATGGACAAAGGATTTTTGAGTGATGAAATGAACAGCGAACCGCTGGAAGACATTACGAAGTACAGAAGCGCAGTGGGTGCATTGATGTATATTGCCGTTTGCGCTCGCCCCGACATTATGAACAGTGCTGCAATCCTGGGGCGCAAGTTTAGTGCTCCTTCCGAGAGAGACTGGACGGCGGCCAAACGCGTTATCCGCTACCTCAAAGGAACGCGCGATTGGAAGCTGACTCTCGGGGGCGAAAATAGTGGACTTGTTGCATACTCGGACAGTGATTGGGCAGGAGATGTCGGAACACGGAAGTCTACTACGGGCTTCGTCGTGTTCTATGCAGGAGGAGCGATTTCGTGGGCCAGTCGGTGGCAAGAATGTGTAACGCTGTCGACACTGGAAGCGGAATACGTCGCCTTAACGGAGACGTGCCAAGAGGTGATCTGGCTGCGTCGACTACTTGATGATCTTGGAGAGAAGCAGGCCGCCGCAACTGTGGTGAACGGCGACAATCAAGGATGCCTCAGTTTTGCTCGGTCCGAACGATCTAGCAAGAGGTCCAAGCATATCGAGACTAAACGACACTTCGTGAAGGACCTTTGTGAACGCGATGAGGTGGTGCTGAAGTACTGCCCTACGGAGGACATGAAGGCGGACGTTCTCACGAAGCCGTTGGGTGGAGTCAAGCATCACGGCTTTGCCAAGCAGCTTGGATTGGACAGTGGCGAGACGAGGGTCAACCATTGAGGAGGAGTGAAGAGAATTAGCAATGTGTGCTGCCCCTCGTCATCTACCGGTTGGTCGTGCCCCACACATCTTTTTTCCATTGGGACGACCAAACCTCGCCGACGCTGAGACGGCGCGAATAGAGAAGTGTTTCAGTTGAACTTTGTACATCCGACAAGAAAGACCCATTAAAAGTTCCCTTTTAATAGTTTAATTAAATCCTCGTGGTCGATTCCTTTTTCGGTAATCCGAAACCAACGCTGATTCCCCTGTGCGGTCAATCCGACTCTCCCACACTAAAAACATCCCAAAATCGTTTGGTTATAACATTACAATAGCAAAATTTTGTTCGAAAATGTTTGATGTGTTGGATGTGAAAATACCCATGATGGGTATTTAATACTTTTTCTTAAACCGGAAGCCACAAACTTGGATTTCAAAATAGCGTCCGTTATCGATTTTCGGTCTCTAGAGAAAACCCTGATTCCAAAAATACTCATATTGTTGGGTATTGTACAGTATTTCCCACATTTCATACACCGGAAGCGGCCATTTTGGATTTTAAAATGGAGCCGGATATCGATTTTTGACCTCTAGACCTCACTGCGATTCCAAAAATACTCATATTGACGGGTATTTTATGGTACTTCCCACTTTTTCTGATACCGGAAGCCACCATCTTTCATTTCAAACCTCGACCTCGGCGTCATCCTGATTCCAGAAATATCCATATTGATGGATATTTGACGTATTTCCTTATTTTTCGAAAACTGGAAGCAGCCATATTTGGTTTCAAAATGGCGTCGGATATCAATTTCCAATCTCTAAACGTCACCCCCATTCCAAAAATACCCATATTGATGGGTATTTGACAGTATTTCCCACTTTTCTGAAACCGGAAGCTGCCATATTTGGTTTCAAAATGTCGTCGGATATCGATTTCCGAACCCTAGGCGTCATCCGGATTCCAAAAAGATCCATATTGTTGATATTTGACTATTTGGCTGCATCCCCCAGGGCAACCGGAATATGTCCGGATGTGGCCAAAGTGGTTCTTGGAACTAGATTTGATTTCCATTGAACTATTCTTTGAATTGTCATTAGAGATGAACTAGCCTAAGGCTAAAAATCTCTTTAGTAAAGAATAAAAAAAAAAAAAAAAAAAATTGAATTCTCATGTAATTTGATGTGTTACATGATGGGTTTGATCCTAATCAGATGTTGGCCTGTTGTCCCGGGACACCCGGAATGTGTCCGGATGTGGACAAAGTGGTTATTGGAACTAAATTTGAGTTCCATTGAACCAGAAATTGAATTCTCATGTATTATGATGTGTCGCATGATGGGTTTGACCCTAATCAGATGTTGGCCTCTTCCCCGGGACACCCGGAATGTGTCCGGATGTGGCCAAAGTGGTTCTTGGAACTAAATTTGAGTTCTATTGAATCACTCGTTGAATTCTCATGTGATTCGATGTGTCGCATGATGGGTTTGACCCTAATCAGATGATGGCTTCTTCCACCGAGACACCCGGAATGTGTCCGGATTTGGCCAAAGTGGTTCTTGGAACTAAATTTGAGTTCCATTGAACCAGTCTTTGAATTTTCATTTGATGTGTCACATGGTGGGTTTGACCCTAATCAGATGCTGGCTGCATCCCCCGGGACACCCGGAATATGTCCCGATGTAGCCAAAGTGGTTCTTGGAAGTAACTTTGAGTTCCATTGAAATAGTAATTAAATTCTCATGTAATTTGATTTGTCACATCATGCGATTGACTTAGCTTGTAAGATATTATTGCTAGGTTAAGATCTATTTAATAAAAAAAAAACAAATATCATATAGTTATAAGAAAATGAAAAATAAAGTTTATTGATGAAGTCATGTTTATGCTTACACTGTTTTTAATTTTATTAAATTAAAACCCATTGAAAAAGAAAATGGTGGTGAACAACCGTGAGCGCGCGCATGGGGGCGGACAAAATGGCCAAAACGATCAGTTTTCTGACAGGTATCGTTTTCGTCTCAGGCGCCCAAATGTTGCAAATATGCGCGCCGGCGCGGCGGGGGCGACCAAATGGAGCCGCGGGGTTCGAGTCGCCCAAGTCCGCCCCGTCCGCCGAGCCGTCCGGGAGCGAGCCGTGGGCGACTCGCCCGCTGTATGTGGATACTCATAATTCATAAACTGCAGTTTCTTCCATGAGTAAATTTCGTATGGAAAGAAAATTCTCTGAGTCAATTATTCTCAGTCGCTGAGTTGGTATGATTGGCCGTGTGCAATAGTGTGCGCCGATTAAACGTCAAAAAGCTTTATAGCGTAGTGTTCGTGAGATCTAGATTAAAGAACTCTATATAATTCATCATCAAACAAAAAACTCAGTCTTCGATCACAGTTCAGAATTAGTAAATTATCGCGATGGCATTAAAATTGCTTGTTGGCCAAAGTGAGTAAATCTGTGCTTATTTGTATTTAATGTATTCGGTTCAAAACAACTAAAACTTTCAATTCATATTAATATCAAGCTATGACTGGAACTGAAAATTAGATTATAAATTATATATGAGAGTTTCAAATTAGCAGCCAAGTTACCTCACAGATGCACCACCTGGAAGTGAAAATTCAATCGTTTTCAATATGCTATTAGTCATTAGAAAGCAGTGGAAAGAAAGTAATGTTTAGCATTTTCAAGACATCTGTCACCCTAAATAATATGGAGAAATCTAAGATTCGAACATTTAAACGTTTTTTGGAAAATTCCAGAGTAGGGCTACCATATCTCACTTATCAGAAAGAGTAATTATGTATAATTTATAATAGAGTAAATAACAGTACATGAAACCGCATTTAAAAGGGTGTAAATTTATAAATAAATGGAAGTCATGAAACAATTGGAAAAATTGAATGCGTTATTAACTAAACTATATTTATTATCGTCACTGGATGAATTAACTATCGCACAAACCTTCGACAAAGTCCCATCGATTTTTTTTGTTAACGACAAAATTTCTCCATGCAATGAAAAATGTTGCATCATGCAATTTTATTTGAACTAATGTTATTCATGCAGTTAAGAAACTCGAGAATTATTGTTCATTTTGATTGTTCCTATGAATTATTTCGCATTAGTCCATTAGATTATAATTTTGCTGACATTAAACCCTTTTTTCACGCGGTCTTATTTTCGTTTTTTCTGATGTTCAAGTTGAAGTTTGGTGCTACTGGTGTCAAAAAAAATAAAAGTAAAATATGGTACATTAAGAAATTATCTAACTTCACCACAGAATAATAAAAATCAACTGCTTAAAAATAGTTGGGTGTAATTAAATTCTAGCTACTTGATGTCTTAATAAAAAAAATACCATACCCGAGCGATAACCCATATGATTATTTCACAAATTGTTTGGATGATACCCTTGGGCCTATTCTGCGCGGCGTGTGAGGTGAGGTGACAGTGAAGTGATGGTGAAGTGACAATTGTCACCTCGGATGAGGTGACTCTCCATTTGATTTGCACGGAGAGTCACCTCACCCGAGGTGACATTTGTCACTTCACAAGTGACAGCGTGTCACCTCACCTCACACGCCGCGCAGAATAGGCCAACCTGAACACATCTTTTGGCATCACAACCATACACATTTTATTGGGGAATTCTTATGAAGACGACGAAATTCTACAGTCTACTGTTTAAAACTTAATTGTGCTGTTGTTGAAAAAACTGGGTTTGAATTTTTGGAAAATGCACCAAAGTAATTTGCAACTTATACAAAGAAATTTTGCTAATGAATAAACTGTTCTTAATTACACAGTTTGGAATGAAAAATGACGACAAACACCATAATTTTTTTAAATTGAATACCTCACAAATCGCAAGTTGGAATTTTCAGAGAAAACTAAACAATACTGAATGAACTGCGGTGGTGGTGGTTTACATCTCACTACAGTCTGACAAATATACGAAAAACTACCATCAGATGGTTAACCCCGGCGGTGCAAAACCTTCAGGCCTATTTTGCGCGGCGTGTGGGGTGAGGTGACAGTGAAGTGATAGTTAATTGGCCTACTTATACCCTCTGATACCTACACAGCAAAAAATATATTGAAAATTGATCAACGTAATTGACGCTTATGTATTGCCAATTCAGAGAAAAATAAGCATTTGGCGTCAGCTTATCGGAGATGGACTAGCCAAAGCAGTACCAACATTTCAAAGGGGCGTAATTGCTTTTGTAAACAATGGCTTGGGCATAGATTTGTCGCGAATAAAAGCTCACTCGTGAAAGTTAATGACACCAGCAGGTAGATGAATGTTTCCTCTACCAGCTAGCATTGTTAATTTGGTGGGGTGGCTTTTATTTGCAAGAAATCTACGGCTAAGGCCATTGTTTACAAAATCAATTATGCCACTTTGAAATTTTGGCACTGAAAGGCTAAAAATATCCTATAAAAAGAATTTTAAAAAATCAGCTTATCAACTTAATAGCATCCTGCGGCTGTCAGTTTTGTCGTAATATTTTTCCTGAAATGGCAATGTAATGATGAAAAGCTAAAGGGCAAGACAGCTTTTGATCATGAGTAAAATCGGAGTCAATTTTGAGTAACTCGCGTTGATCAACTTCAAATGTAGCAACTATAGTCACTATATTCATAGTCTGGCGAAGACAATCACGGGAGCCAATTTGACCTGTCATTTGCGGGAGCCAATCGAGCATGACTGTTGCTTTATTGATTGTGACAATAATGAGTTAACGACAGAGAATATACTTTTGAAACGATTTTTTACGGATAGTATGGCAAATTGATAAATGCATTGCAAATGCGTTAAATAGTACAAGTTGAACGATATTCATGGAACATATTTCCTTCTATTCAGCCTAAAACTGTAAGCCAGAAGATACTACGAAGATAAACAATATTCATGTTTCATAAACCAAAAACGTCCTGCAAAGGCTTGAGCATTTTCACGGGGTGCCGTATTTTGATTGCATAATCCAAAGTTGCCAGTATGCAGGATTTTGTATCCGCCAGACTATGAATATAGTGACTATAATAGCAACCCGCTAGCTAGCATTTCACATGATTCGATTTACGTCCAAAATAATAATTGAGTGCATCGCAATATTATGTACAATTTCTTGGTACCATTAATTAGCCAACTAAGATCAATTAATCAATAGAGTTAGAATATTGTTTTTGATTCCAAAAACTAGTTGTATTTGAGAAGCACACGAAACATAAAAGTGATTGAATTTCTGTTCTATTGCAATACTCTTAAATTTAATGTAGTAAGAATAAAAAATTCTAATGGGGATGTTCGATTGGCTCAGAGTTTGACAGTTCATTTGGCTCAAAACCTTCTCTCCACCCATCTCTCCTTCTAAGTATTTCTAATAGTGCCTATAGTTCGATGGTATACATATTCCCGACAAATTCAGGTCATTACTGTATGCATGCATGATGTATATGGGGCATGAAACTATCATATTGATTGGAAAACACTCGAACTTTCTGCTGAATTTGGTACCATATGTTCTTAGGGTGGCCAAACTGCCCCATCTCTTCCTAACTGATTTCACGAAAAAAAAATGTTATTTTCAGAAATTATGAACGAGGTGGTCCGCTACAATGGATCACCGAGTAAGATTAATCCCAATGGAAAACCTGGCACAGAGTGGAGGATTTTGATTGTTGATAAACTCGCAATGCGTATGGTTTCAGCATGTACCAAAATGCATGAGATAAGCGCCGAAGGCATAACTTGTAAGTATAATTATGGGAAGTATTCATGCATATATACAATCATTTTACTCCTTTTCCGCAGTGGTTGAAGATATTAACAAAAAACGAGAACCATTACCAGCGATACAAGCAGTATATTTAATCACTCCATCCGAAGATTCTATTAGGTTGCTGATGAGGGATTTCGAGAACCCCGCCAAGCCAACATATAAATCCGCTCATGTATTCTTCACTGAAGGTATGTAAACACATTTTTACCGCATAATTTCTCGCTCAACTTTTCAAATAGACCAATTGCTCGATTATCTTCATCGACTTTCTCTTCCGTTACAAACTTCTCTACAAAAACGATTCCTGACGTATTTTTAGTATTGAATGCTGCATCGTTTCATCGAACAGGGTGTCGAAAATACACAAATGCGTAAACGTACACGTACACGTAAAAATCACGAAAAAACACGTAACAACGATCCAAAGAAATAGTCGTTGAAGATAATCGATCGATAATTAGTCTACACCAGGGTTTTTAAACGTTAACGTCTTCAATGGGAATTTGCATTGAAGACGTTAGCGTCATAACAGAGAATTTAGACTCAATTCTGTTTTTACGCGATTTCCATTTTCCATTTGGATACAGCATTTTTAATATCAGCTAAATTTTCTTTAAATTTAAATTTGGTAGCAATGATCAAAAATAGAAGTGGAAATAATCACGTAACAACAGAATTGAATGTATATTAAAAGTTGTGCGAGATTTGTACTTTTTTTAAAAGAACTTGGGCATTAATTAATTTTTAATCTATTCAATTGCAATTGCTTTCAGTATGTCCTGAGGAACTTTTCAACGATATTTGCAAATCTGTAGTTTCCAGAAAGATCAAAACACTAAAAGAAATAAATATTGCTTTCCTTCCCTATGAATCCCAGGTAAGTTAAAAGTAATCGAAACTAGATGGGGCGACCCCGGCGTAGTGGTTATCATCCATACCTCTCACGCCAAAGTCACGAGTTCAAATCTCACCCTGGACAAGTCACAAATAACCTAAGAGCGTTAAAGTGATTATTAAAAAAATAGGAAAAAAAAATCAACTAGATAAATCTCGCCAAGCTGCCCTAATAAAATTGTTATGGTTATTTTGCTTAACGAACGGTGTCATCCAAACCATTTGTGGAATAATTCTATGATTTGGGTTATCATTATTTTATGGTATTTTTAATTAGGGTGGATTGTCAACATCAACAGGCCCCAATGCTAGTTGAAAAATTCAAACCATCATTGGAAGAACGCATAGAAAAATTAGCAAATACTCAAACCCTTCGCCTGAGGATGTAATCTTTGCTATCAAATTTGTTCGAAGCATTTACCTTTGCGCGGCAGATGACGCGATTGTACCTGTCTCATAGCGTTCGTATGAGAAAATGGAAGAGTTGCCAGTCTTCTTGATTTGTTGTCTTCGGCTTTAGGGAAGCAACCCGAGCAAAGTACAGCATCAAAATAACAGCAAATTGAAATCAAGTTTTGATATCAACATCAAACTGAAATCATAATTTGATTTCAGTTTACGCAATTGACAAATTTTGGTACTCAGTACGGAAAGCAAGATCGAAGGAAAACAAATGAAGGAGAAAAAACAACAAGTTGGAATAAGGGCCTCACAGCTTTTGTAAACAATGACTTTTTATGGTGATTTCTGGGAATTGAAGGAACGGCCACGCAAACCAAAACCTCAATCGGGTTGGGGAAGTCTGATTTTCTTTGGCATTCCCTTGAAGTTTTTCGACGTATGACTACGTCTTTTAGAAAAATACTGGGCTGGAGTGCAAATCAAAAATTGTGTGACGAAATAGTGTCAGGTTTTAAACGCTTATAACATGGCCATTTATGTTTAGATTTCAATTCTTATAACACCATTTGATTCAGATTTGGTGTGAGCTTCGGCATACAGATTATAGTAGTTTATCATTTGCAAACTATTGAAAATTTATTAAACTTATTGGCCGTAATCAACCAATCACGTGCTTGCTTGATATAACTATCGACAAAACAAAAAGACAAGCCGATAGCGAGGTTATAAAATAGCATTACTTTTTTACCGTTTGTAACATTTGTTGATGCATTTCTGTATGTTTATCGTATCCTGCAGGTCTGTGTGAGTTTGAATAATAATTGCCAATCAAATACCCCTAGGTTTACTACACCACACAATACCACAGTACACTACCAACTGGTGGAATAATAAATAGCAATAAAATCAGTTCAGTGGACTGAACACGAACAGAAAAGCTGATAATTATCGAATGATAGGGACAATCAGAGTTGCAAAAAATCAAATTCATTTTGCTGACGCAGCGAGAGCTGAGTCAATACGGAATTCAGTATACATCTTTCCATGATTTCTACCCAATGAACAACAATGGCACTAATAATTTTTGCTTCCACTTTCTGTGCATTTTATATTTCACGCAATCTTTCTACACTCATTCGTATTTGGATTCTATGACAATGAACCAGGAAATAATTCACGTTCATCTTATCATGTCACAAGGACTGCAAAATTCATTCATTTCACTTTATATTTACGTAATGAATTTTCCAAGCATAGCAACGCGGCACCTCAACAAATAATTTTGGTTGAAAAATGAATTGAATATCTTGGTAGCATTATTTTTTATTTCCAAATAAAAGTGCGAAAGACGTACCGTCTCCTCGTCGTTTAACCTTACTCAATCAGATGTAAACAGGTATGATCCAGTGAATTTGTCATTTCTGTTACTCTCCCGCTGCTTTACAAAGCTGACGTCACACCATCAACCATAAAAACAGCGGGAAAACGAAAGAGACGAAAAATTCACTACACGGAGAAAAAATACTACCCAAAATTTGAGTTTTTTTTACTTAATTTTGGCTTCAGCCTCTCACTTGCACTCGTTATTGTTGTCAAAAAAGGAACGAGAGATTCGACCCAACGATATAGTTCAGCCCAATAAGTTACTTTTGAGTAAATTGCATATTCTCAAATTTACGTGAATTAAACTCAATTTTGGGTAGAATATACTTAAGTGTAGGTAATTTTTTTGCTGGTGTTAAATGAAAACTACTATATGCGATTTACTCAAATTTGGGTTATTGGGCTGAACCCCGGAATTGAGGGAAAAGTACTTAATTTTGGGTAGTTTTTCATCTCCGTGTAGACCATACCTGTGTTGAAACGTCATAACATAGCAAGCCGTGCAGTCATAACCAAAACATACCAGTTTCTTCGCTGCGCGCCGTGTGCGCTGAATGTTAATCAATCGAAAAACGGACTTGTTTTCACTAAGGATCACTCATGGGAAGTATAGTTATAAAGAAAATAATTCAGTGACAACATTTCAAAGGGGCGTAATTGCTTTTGTAAACAATGGCTTTAGCTCTTGATTTCTCACAAATAAATGCTTACTTCTCCAAATTAACAATGCTAGCTGGTAGATGAAACATTCCTCTACCTGTTGATGTCATTAATTTTCATGAGTGGGCTTTTATTCACGAGAAATCAGCTGCTAAAGCCATTGTTTACAAAAGCAATTACGCCTCTTTGAAATGTTGGCACTGAATTATAGTTTAAGAATGATACTTTTCGTTTTGCAGCAGGTATCTCAGGTAACGTTCTAGAATCAGCAGCAAAAGGAGCTGGAATTCCTATAAGCATTTGATGTCATAGGACGATTGAGGATTCGTTTTTGGTGATAGAGCGCCCCGATTATCAGATCGATTATAAAATCTATCCAAAATGCTACATTCCTTGACAACAACAAATCGCAGTGGCACGGAACCTACAAGAATGAAGACGGAAACCCCATACACCAGCAGATTTTACCACCTACGAGGACAGTGAAGAAAAACTCCAGATAAACGGGATCCTAATCCCAATAATAAATTTCGCGGACAGTCCACGGTGGACTACGTTTGTAAGAAGGAATCTGTTTTGCGGAAAGTGCACAGCATCAATCTAACTCATGCTCATGAAGAATTCCAGGGAACCTTCGCACGTTTTTCTGTTCGTAGCATCTTAGTAATCGGCAGGCAGGAGCAAATTTACTATACAGCATTCCCTCCATATCTGCGGTGGGTGATATCGTCCACCCACAGGTATTTCTTTGTTGCCCTTAAAGCAATTCAGCTGATTTTTAATATGTGATTAGAGTGAAACAAACTAGTTATCTACAGAAAATCAACTCAATTGGTGAGTAATCGGCGTTTGAATTCAATTGTTTCCATTTGGCACTAAGGTCCTTACACATGTTGTTCACGTTTTACGTGAATTCCGGACTGAGTATTTGGACTTGCTCCACCACTATTTTATAGCAAAGATGGAATCGCATCTTTGTAGGCTTGGTATTCTGCTGAAATTGTCATCTATAGTTTCCAGTGCTAGATCGCTCGGAGAACAGTAATCGAGATTGGGTGCTTGTTAGGGATCGTCGATTAATTATGTCACACTTTTAGGGGGGAGGAGGGGTTTTGAAAACTGTGACGAGTGATACAAAAAAAAATTAAGGTCCATACAAAAAATGTGACAAAGGGGGGAGGGGGGGGTTGAAAATGGGCCAAATTTGCGTGACATAATTAATGGACCTTTCCTTATGTGGTGTGTGCGATTGGAGTAGGTTGTTCCATGGTTTTGGAAAATAGTTTCAACATATTTTTACTCTTTTGGTTTTATTTACTCTTTTACTGCAAGTTAGCTTCTGATTGATTATTGGAATAAAAACATATATCAAAATAAACAAATTGAAGAGACTAAACAAAAGGTTCTGATTCAACAATGGAATGAAAAGAAAAATGAGCAAAATTAAACTACCATCGATGTTTCGTCACCGCAAATTTCAACATATTCCTTCCAATTGTAAACTGACTGAATAGTTTTCTGGAACAAATTTTTGTTTAGTTTTATCATCAAGATATTTGCCAATGTTTCCTCTGCCAGCCCTGTTCGTAGATTAGAGAGAACCAGTCCAAGGGCACTAAATGACCTCTCAACTGAAACTTGGTTCGAGGGTGTGGACAACACAATCATAGCCACTGCGTGGAGCTCAGGATGCGTGGTTTTACGGCGTAGCCAATGATTCCAGACTTTATAGTTGTGATTTTGGCGTGGCTCCAAGTCAAGGGACTTGACTTGCTGGAGGAAATTGGTTGCGTTTTCTTGGATGCTGGTATCAATTGAACCACCGAACATTTCAGTAAGGTATTGATCAAATTCATCAGTAGATCCCGACAACGATTCATTGTTCATGTTGGTGGATGTTGGTTCAAGTTGACGGATCCGTTCCCAAGTTTCAGTTATGTATCTCTGAAATTAAAGTCACACTTTTTAATTTAGGACGAATACCAGGCAAGTAATACGCACGCGCGCTTATGTGTGTGTGTTGGTGATATTATACCTGTATTTCTTCTTTTTCATTTCCCGTGAATAATTTTGAAGCATGGTAGTTGAATCTGGGATCGAGAAACAATCCCATTTTGAATGCTATTGAATGACGCAACGCATCCAATCTGGTCCTCAATGATTGTATTAAAGCAGGAACAAAAGGATTATCGGTAACCTTTTGGACTTCACTTGTGGCCATGAGCCAAGCCATGTAGAAATCAGGTAGGGATACATGTGACTCCTGCATTTTTTTGGTGCAGATGTACAACGGCTTGAACGCATCATAATAATGGTCTACAAATGTCCAAAGGCTTGAAAGATCTGTGAAATACGGAATGTTTTATAGATGAGTGTTTGAGTACTATTTTGGAAAACTGTTTTGTACATACCAAGCTCGGGAAATTGATCGGCAAGTGTCGTGAAGAAAACTTTTTGATCTTTGAATGATTCGACCATTTTAAAAATACCACCCCATCTTGTTTGGCTCCAAACGGGGGGGGGGGTACGACGCGGTGT